CTCAGGAGACCATCTGCCACCTCATCAGGAGCATGCACAGGCATTGTAGGGAGGTCATACAGGCACGTGGAGGCCACACACCCTATTGAGCATCATTTTGACTTGTTTTAAGGACATTACACCATAGTTGGATCAGCCTGTATTGTGTTTTTCCACTTTAATTGTGAGTGTGACTCCAAATCCAGACCTCCATGGGTTGAAAAATGTGATTTCCATTTTTGAATTTTTGTGTGATTTTGTTGAAGAATATTTAATTCATTCAGATCTACGATGTGTTATTTTTGTGTTCTTTATTTTTTTGAGCAGTGCATATTGCATATGTTTTGATATTTTAATATGTTGAAAAAATATTTGAAAAGTTTATCCAAAAATATTAAAATATTTGGAGAGCTTACCCAACAATATTAAATTGAGGCCTAAACTGGAAAAGACAAACTTTTATAAGTTCAGGATACTCACAAACATCTATGGGATTACCTTTCCTTATTCCCCAGATACGCCACCAAACTGTGTAGTGAAATGGAAAGTGTTCAGTGTCTGCATGCAGAATGTGGAGACGTTGAACATCAGTGCTGCACAACCCAGAAAGCACCTCTAGTGGCCATATGAGTGACTGCCACTAGAGGTGTCCCTAGGCAATAATGTAAACACTGCCTTATCATTGAAATGGCAGTGTTTATATTATAAAAAACACCATTAAGCGGTTGTTGTTCTGGTGACTATAGTGTCCCTTTAAATGCTGCCTATGGAGTGGTGCTTTCTGTCCCAACATGAAATGACTTACCTGGTTACACTTAGGACAAAATTTTACAAGTATATTGGGGTTTCCAAGGTATAATTTAGTTTAAAGTAGGACTCTAAGCAACATAAGAATTTATTTTGTATTTCGGCAAAGTGTATAACGGTTCTAGTTCCCTTGTCCCACTCATTTCTTAGAGTGGCTTATAGCAGCAATCAATAAAAATTAATCTACAGTAAGACAGTCCACCAGAGCTGTCAATCAAGCATGCCAGGGCACTTAGTCCAAGGTTGCCTTTTATATATCAGTTGCACAACACATGAACAATATGGAACGCTCCCTTCTCTGAGGAGTGCTGAGTATATGCAATGTTGCGGCTTTGCTGATAGCTAAACAGTAAACTGGACTGGGTATAGATTGATGGCATTCATACAGGGAGTGCAGAATTATTAGGCAAGTTGTATTTTTGAGGATTAATTTTATTATTGAACAACAACCATGTTCTCAATGAACCCAAAAAACTCATTAATATCAAAGCTGAATATTTTTGGAAGTAGTTTTTAGTTTGTTTTAGTTTTAGCTATGTTAGGGGGATATCTGTGTGTGCAGGTGACTATTACTGTGCATAATTATTAGGCAACTTAACAAAAAACAAATATATACCCATTTCAATTATTTATTATTACCAGTGAAACCAATATAACATCTCAACATTCACAAATATACATTTCTGACATTCAAAACAAAACAAAAACAAATCAGTGACCAATATAGCCACCTTTCTTTGCAAGGACACTCAAAAGCCTGCCATCCATGGATTCTGTCAGTGTTTTGATCTGTTCACCATCAACATTGCGTGCAGCAGCAACCACAGCCTCCCAGACACTGTTCAGAGAGGTGTACTGTTTTCCCTCCTTGTAAATCTCACATTTGATGATGGACCACAGGTTCTCAATGGGGTTCAGATCAGGTGAACAAGGAGGCCATGTCATTAGATTTTCTAATTCATTAGATTTTCTTGCCAGCCACGCTGTGGAGTACTTGGACGCGTGTGATGGAGCATTGTCCTGCATGAAAATCATGTTTTTCTTGAAGGATGCAGACTTCTTCCTGTACCACTGCTTGAAGAAGGTGTCTTCCAGGAACTGGCAGTAGGACTGGGAGTTGAGCTTGACTCCATCCTCAACCCGAAAAGGCCCCACAAGCTCATCTTTGATGATACCAGCCCAAACCAGTACTCCACCTCCATCTTGCTGGCGTCTGAGTCGGACTGGAGCTCTCTGCCCTTTACCAATCCAGCCACGGGCCCATCCATCTGGCCCATCAAGACCCACTCTCATTTCATCAGTCCATAAAACCTTAGAAAAATCAGTCTTGAGATATTTCTTGGCCCAGTCTTGACGTTTCAGCTTGTGTGTCTTGTTCAGTGGTGGTCGTCTTTCAGCCTTTCTTACCTTGGCCATGTCTCTGAGTATTGCACACCTTGTGCTTTTGGGCACTCCAGTGATGTTGCAGCTCTGAAATATGGCCAAACTGGTGGCAAGTGGCATCGTGGCAGCTGCACGTTTGACTTTTCTCAGTTCATGGGCAGTTATTTTGCGCCTTGGTTTTTCCACACGCTTCTTGCGACCCTGTTGACTATTTTGGATGAAACGCTTGATTGTTCGATGATCACGCTTCAGAAGCTTTGCAATTTTAAGAGTGCTGCATCCCTCTGCAAGATATCTCACTATTTTGACTTTTCTGAGCCTGTCAAGTCCTTCTTTTGACCCATTTTGCCAAAGGAAAGGAAGTTGCCTAATAATTATGCACACCTGATATAGGGTGTTGATGTCATTAGACCACACCCCTTCTCATTACAGAGATGCACATCACCTAATATGCTTAATTGGTAGTAGGCTTTCGAGCCTATACAGCTTGGAGTAAGACAACATGCATAAAGAGTATGATGTGGTCAAAATACTCATTTGCCTAATAATTCTGCACTCCCTGTAGTATGGCTGCTATCCAATTATAATGCAATGGAAGTAATCCTATGAGATGATTGGAACTTCGGTGGAGGATAACTTATTTATCCTATATCCTTATAAGAGAACATAAATACTCAAGATCTTAGAGGTTTGATCCTGGTGTGGAAGGGGTCTAGCAGTGCATTCTGTGAATCCCACATGGAATGTTTTTTTTTTGTTTTTTTTATCGTCTACATACATATATATGTTGGAAGGCCATTTGGCCTGAATTTGTGGGAGAAGTTATGAATCTATTTAAACTCCTTCCCCCCTACTTACCTTTGTCGTGCAAGCTGTTTGTCTTCTCCATAGCAACCAGCACTTCCGCTCCTGCCTCCGACCTCTGTGCCCGTCAACCGGCTTCTATCCGACTTCGCTACTCGCTACCTGGCTCCTAGTCACGAGACCGGCACGTCCACGTAAGCAAAGCGTGGGAAATAACGTTTGGCTATTTCCCAAGTTCGGGCCTAAAAACACGGGGATAGGCTCCCTTCATTACTTACCCATTTGTGCACTTACTCTGTTCGTGTATTTCTGCTTTCTGCAGCTAACAGCCGACCACAGAGTACACACTCCTTCATTTGCATTTTCGTATAATCTAACTACCTAACGCACTAAATAAACTTACATTTGTCTATTTCATCCGTTCGTTCGTTCAGCCGACCGCATATACAATTGGCTTTTCTTTAGTCTTTCGTATGCTCCATTTAACTGACCGCAGGAGTTCTTTTCTCTTTACAGTCCTCTCGTTCGTTCGTTTTACCAAATCTACTGTAAATGTACCTAGTGATGCCATTCACTTAAACGAAAGCACTCACTTTATCTTAACCTATATGGATTTATGTGTTTTTATTATATGGCTCGTAAAGTCACCACTGGCTAAATAATAATTTCTGTGTTTCACAAATTCCCATCTATGGTCACATCATTTATGGGACACCAAGTTTCACAGGGTAATCTTCTTAAACGCAGTTTGGCCACAATCACTTTATAAGTTACGATAAAAAAATACACTTCCAGGTACCATTATTTTAACCCCGCTGTCTCTCCCATTTCCCTAAGGAATTAGTCTTCTATGCAACTAAGGTGGCTCTGCTCATAGGTTAACCTCTTATGGTCATTTTTCATCAGGCTCATTACAGACCATTAGCTCGATTTTAAAACCTCTGTTCCTTAAAAGACCTTATATACTGGTTTCTTATACTTAGGATGCATATGTTTTTAGGTTCTACTACTTTCCTCCAAACAGTCTTCAAGAAGTGGTATCAGGTTTACCAGTATTACTGTATCAGGTTTACCAGTTCTCTTTTTTCCCTCGGCCCAAATTATAGGTAAAGCCTCTCTCTGCCACTTGGCACTAGCAGGGCCTCACCTGTCACTTGGTTCTAGGTACATTCTTCACCTGTCACCTTGGTTCTAGGTAAAGTGCCTCGGCACTTGCTAGCAGGCCAGTTTCTCCGTAGGTCTCATCTCCACCTCTACTACACCTTACTTATCCAAATCATCATGTCACAAGAATCCATCCCAATAATCAGTCTGCTGTTGGATGAAATACCCAGCACGCCAGTCAGACCTGCCCTCTTTTAATTACAGGCCTACTCGTACGTTGGTTTCGGCACACCTCAACCAACTTTGCTTCCCCTGCTACATCCCATTACGTAATAGAAATTCCGTGCACAAATATATACACATATAAATTTTTTATTATCTACATACATAATATAAACGCACAGTTTGGCGTTTATATTATGTATGTAGATAATATATATATATATATATATATATATATATATATATATATTAGTGTAAATTGGATTGGCAGTATTAGTCCAGTAGGCAAGATGCCAAAATACCAGATATTTATACATATTTATACATACATATACATATTTATGAATTATCTATTTAAGTCATTGACAGATATCGGATAATTTTTGGCCTATATAAAACCTTTATGGATTATATCATTACCTGCTGCTGTATTGATAGGAGAAGGAGCACCAACACAATATGGTTTATTGGCCACTGAGGGTTCTCTTGTATGAGTTATTTTTTTTGTGACCGATGGTTTTGTTGGAGAAACAAGTGGATTGATGCTGGCTACTGTGACTTTTTGTAAACAGGATGCACATCCAGCATTTCTTACAACTGTTGATTCCTGGTCTCTAGCTGATCCTGGAACAGGCAGAGTTGTATTTATATTGAATTTGAGGTGTAGCTTGCATGGCATTTGATGAAAATATAATGGGCACCTTGGTGGTTTGCTGAACATTGGATGTTCCTCCAGTGTCAGAAATGCTGTATGTTCCTCCAGTGGACACTTTTGTGGATTTATAAACTTGGACAGCGGTGGATAAACCTCCAGTTGACACTTTTGTGGAGTCCGGAGGCTGAACAAGTGGGGTATGATTGACAAAGGCTGAACGTGCTATGTAAGCATTCATAGGTGTATTAACTTGTAATACATTTGTTGTTTGATGAGCATTAGATGAGGATGTAGTGGGAATATTTGTGATTGCACTGGATTGGTAAGGTCCAGTCTTCGCTATGGGTGCAATACTTGTGCTACCAAATGAGGCTGCACTTTCTTTTCGTTTTGCTAAATAAAATAAAAAAGATTCATCAAAACTAAATCTTGATGGTTGTTCTAAATTGCCTGTTGATCCATACGGCATAGAGTCCTCTATTTCATCACTAGAGTCAGTCCCAGGAGTAAAAAAATGTCTCTGCTCATTACTATCCACACTTCTCCCTTTAGATCCTGTTTGTAAATGGGGGCCTGAATGAAATAAAATAAGAAATAAAAAGGGGCGGAGCCTAGCACCGGACCGGAGCGGACGCACATTGCCGGAGCTCCGAGCTACCGCACGGCAATCCAGCCACATCGGAGGCATCCCGCACTAATCCCGGCCACATAATCAGCCACAGCCCGCAGGGAACCTCGCTGCAACCGCCGATGCCGTTTCTCCTGACGCCCGGCTCGAAAAATAGACGCCGAGGCGGCAAGGCCTACCGGGCAGGGAGGCAACCTCAACCCAGCACGGGAGAACACTGGCCCTGGAGTGTCCCAGAATTTGAGGACTGGTACCCCAGCACACACAGCTCAGGTGAGATGGGGCGCAGAACGCAGAAACTGCCAGAAAACGCCCCAAAACCGCAGCGCGACATAGGCCAAATGTTACAGGCCCCAAGCGCAGTAAAGGCACAGACCCCCCGTGAAACCTCCCCAGCACCATCAGAGGAAGAAGAATCACTAGACAGCCCACACCTCAATCCCCAACACCCCACACACACGTGGATGCCAGAAGCCAGCGCACCGGCCTCCAAACAAGACATACAGGCTATGCTGACAGGCCTGCAACAGAACTTAAGACAAATGTGGGAAGCGGACCTGGCAGTGCTTAAACTAGACGTGCACGCCGTGTCCACGCGCACTCAAGCGGTAGAAGAGGAGGTAAAGGGACTAAGAGGGAACTACCAGGAATTGGGAGAGACGTTGCGACACCTTCAAGCAGCACAAGCAACAATGTCCAGGCAAGTTACTCTCCTAGATGATAGGGGGCGTCGAAAGAACATAAAAATCCGAGGGGTACCTGAATCAATACCGCTGGAAGAGTTGCCACATTTCATCAGACGCCTTGTGGCCACACTCCTGCCAACTAGACAATCTAAAACGTTCCAGTTCGACGGGGTTTACAGGATAGCCAAATCCCCACAAGCACCCAACTCAGCCCCAAGGCAGTGGTGTATCCTGGTTTTGTGCTGCCCTAGGCAGGACAAAACTCAGGCGCCCCCCAACCCCCCCACGCGCGCGACCCCCACCCATCCCTTCCCCCCTCCGCGCGACCCCCACCCATCCCCCCCGCCTTCTAAATACACACACACACTCACTGACAGATATGCGTACACTAGCTAACAGAAACACAAACTCACTGACACACAGTCAAACACACACACTCACTAGCAGAGACACACTCACTCACAGACACACACACACACACACACTAACAGACACACACTCACACACACTAACACACACTCACTAACAGACACACACTCACTAACACACACTCACTAACAGACACACACACACTAACAGACACATACACTCACTAACACTCACACACACACACACACACACTCACTAACACTCACACACTCTAACACACACTCACTAACAGACACACACACTCACTAATAGACACACACACACTAACAGACACACACACTCACTAACAGACACACACACACTAACAGACACATACACTCACTAACACTCACACACACACACACACTCACTAACACTCACACACTCTAACACACACACTCACTAACAGACACACACACTCACATTAACACATGTACTTTTTAAACCCCCCCCCTCCAGCCTCCTTACCTTTGGGAGTGCTGGGGAGGGAAGGGGTTCTCTATCTCCCTGGTGGTCCAGTGGCTGCTGGGTGGGCGGCATTGGTGGGCGGCATTGGCGGGCGGGCGGCTGACGAGAGAGCTCTTCCTGTGAGCTGACTGCTCAGCTCCCTCGCGCGCCGCAGAGTGAGGCTGGGAGCCGGGATATGACGTCATATCCCGACCCAGCCTCACTCTGCGGCGCGAGGGAGCTGAGCCAGCTCACAGGAAGATCGCTAGCCGCCCGCCAATGCCGCCCAGCATGTCTGTTAGCCGCGAGGCTAACAAGACATTTGCCCTGGGCATTTGGGGGGCGGCTTTTTTTGCCGCCCCCTGAAAAATGCCGCCCAAGGCAAATGCCTTGTTTGCCTCACGGCTAAAACGCCCCTGCCCCAAGGGACATAATATTGAGATGCCAATCAATGTTGGACAAACTGGGGCTAATGGCGGCTATGCAAGGGAAAACACCTCTTGACTTTGAAGACAGCAAACTCTCCTTCTTTCAGGACTTGAGCAGGGCCACACTGATGTGGCGCAAAAGTATGCAACCAATCACCAAACAACTCCAAGCCGCAGGAGTAGCCTATAGATGGGCAACACCAGGAACTCTCTGGGTCACTAAAGATGACAAGCACTACAGAGCCACCGACCACGCAGAGGGCCCGGCACTGATGACCGCATTGGGAATATCGAACCTCGCAGCGACCTCTATGACACAGCCGGCTCAACGACCAGGGACAACGAGCACAGATTAATCCGCAACTCCTGGAATAAGCAGAGGACCGAAAACCAAAACCTGAACGAACTGCCTCACCGACGGCCTCATAGGCCTTAGTTTCACTAGTTTAAATATTTTAAGTTGATAAATCGGTTCATTTAAGTTAAATGTAGTTCTCTCACATTCTGACGGCTATAACAGTGCTAAAGTGGCCCACCAGAGCCGCGCACACTAGCTCCGATAACAATCCCCCCCCTCCCTTGGGTTAATGGGAAACGACATCAAAGGCGACATAGTAACCCTGACTGGAATCAGGCTCATCGCGAGGTCTGATGCCCCAAGGGCACAACTTGATCCGGTCACACTACAGCGACCTATGTATATACATAGACACGATTTGTAGTTACCACTAGGGCCACAAAGACACCCTGAGCACCACACACATGGGCACCCACCAATAGCTACAACCAGGGAAAAGCAAAAGAGGAGCGGACATAGTCCTAGACAGGCACCATTAGAGGGACCCCGTAACTACCGCAATCCGCATCCTTACCCAAACTCAAAAGGGTCAAGAGACTCACCCAACACCCATAAACTATAGTCGCACGACCTAGAATTGGGACCAGCCACTGGACCTAGCAGTAAATGCCTTTCCCCCCCCCCACCTACGACTCCACAGACCTTAGGGTGTCTTAGGCAGACAGAAGTCTTCCATCCCTACAGTTATTAGATTTTAAAACCTCACTGTAACAATGTGACCTATTGTAAATATAAAATGTGTGTGAATAGCACACAACAATGCCTTGTATTTGATATGTACTGATTCTAATCGATGTGTCGAGGCTGTTGTGGCCAACTTCCTGAATATGTTATCTTTCCACATGAAAAATAAAGATTTATAAAAAAAAATAAGAAATAAAAAAATTATTAAACAAGATTGGGTCACATAAACACAAGAAAGTTCTTCTATAGCAGAAAAAAAATGTTTATTTTTCTTCTATAAGTATTGTAATATGAATCTGTAATACTTTGAAGAGACATGCATCACTTTGAGACAACTGTCTCATTTAAAAGCTTTAACTTTGAATGATACAGTTGCCTTCTTTTTTCTTATGCGTTCCACACTCACTCCAGGATGACACTGATCTAACTAATCAGTATCCTATCCCCAGGAATAAAGGAGAAGTGCATTGGGCATGCATGACAGATTTACACATGTTCAGTTGGAAGACCTCTTCATTTTTTAATATCCTTACAGGTAGAAAGGAGAAGGATACAATGCAATATGTAACTTCCACCTAATCACCCGTGGAAAATATCAATTTAAACTTAGATTTTTGGATACTTGCTTCCCTTAAGTTACCTCCCAACTTGTTAACCATATAAAATATTACAAAATACAAATCGACTAGGGATCCAGCTTGTATCACTAGAATGTAAACATAAAATGCAACATAGTATAATAAAGTATGAATTTAAATATTCACTTCATGTTTCAAGGTTGCACTCACAAATTGATTGTTTTTATCAAACCCTCAGGTTGCTTCCCCTATGGTTAGGGGGGTTCCTCCAGTTGTTTGGTTACCACGTCAAATTCCGGAATCAGGAAGTCCACACACTCCCAATGTTTAGTAAAAAAAGGGAATTTATTGGCTTTAAAGTATAAAAAAATAAAATAATAAAATACTATTACTGGTTATACGCGTTTCGTCTCCCTTGGGAAACTTCCTCAGGGATCAAATATTAAATCACAGTAGTTAAAACATACAATCACATACACTGCCAAAAAATCAACAAGTGTACAAATAAGCCTATTTTCCCCTCCCCCTCAAACCCTTAAATATACTCGATCTGGGAGTCCACTGGTGGCGTGGTGGGAGTTGGTACATAGTCCTCTTCTAATTGGGCTTCCTATCGACCGTTGAAAAGGGTCCCAGCTGTTTTCATTTTGTTTAATCTTCTTTTCACACTGAAATCTTCTTTCCGGACTTTACTTCTGGTTCGGCGCACTTCCATGCGTTCCACTGCGGCTCGATTAAGATGGCCGTGCATTCCATTCAGTTCAGCGATCAATGTTTTAATTATTGCCTCTGGTGGTCGCCAGAGGTAATGCCATGGATTTACATGGCGTTCTAGTCCATGACATAGCATATAAAAGAAAAGATAAACGAAAGAAAACAAAATATTTGGTTTACATTCTTTTTTAAAGCTACAAATACCTTCAACAATCCTTTCTATTCAATTCACCAGCTTACAATTGTCCTTTGTTATTATCTTTTCATTCCATTTTTTAATATTAAACGTTAGTGTATGTTATTAGTAACCCCTCAAAAAAACTGAATATGTATTATCAACAATATCCACACTGTACCATGTTTTTCGTTATATAT